TCGCGGCTAGGAACATGCCCGTCAAATGCAGCAGCGACCGTTGATGGACCAAATGATAAGCGGCGGCGGTGTGTCCGGTTCGAGTTGTTGATCACATGATATTTGCTTGCTTGCACGTGACTCAATCTTGCTTGTCGTGTTGTGAGATGTCGTTGACATGCAGTGATGTCTTGCCTGAGTTGCTCAAATCATGTCAGAACAAGTTGTACAGACGTACATTACCTGGACCCATGGAGCGCAGCCGACGTGGTTACAATTTCATGGACCCGGGGCTCTACTCGACAGACCCATTCGGCTGACTACGTCGCCTCCGCCCCCGCCAAGTCTGCCATTGCTTCTTCCACCTCCTCCTCCACCACCACCACCACCACCGGTGATTCTACACCCACAGTTTATGCCCTCGGTACGCAGCCCCTCGATCTCAGCCCCTCGCGGACAATCCTGCCCTACCTCTTCGAAATCGCAGCGCACACGCCGCTCGATCTACAGCACTGACCCTTCCCGTGATGAAGTACCACGCAGTCCAGGGCGCTCGTCCAAACGATCTCGGACAGCATCAGCTTCAGCGCCGCGGAGATCTCGACGGCCCTTTACAGTGTTTTATTCCAAACGTGCTGGCCGTCTATCGCAATCCCCATCGGCAACATGCAAGCATTACTGTCACGCCATCCTGCGCCATGGACGGAAATGTCTTTCCCCTTGTGCTCGTAGACGACCAGGTCACTATCATTGCAGGTGTGCGCGACATCAACGACAGTGAAAGCTAGGAGTCAGACATTTCCGACCTCGTTGCTGCGTTTCACCTTGTGTTTGAAAAGTTGCCTTGCTCTTCAGCGGATATGTGCGGTTGCCAATGCATGTGTGTCCTTGCCGCAGACTTTCGACTGGTTTAGCAGTCGTACAAGCCCGTATTGCTGCTATGAACCCCCAGTATTTCGAGTACCAGATCGATAGAGGAGTGGAATGGATTCGAATGTACTCTCCGGGCATTTGGAGGCCCGTTCCTGAGGAGGCACCAGTTCCGGACCCACTTTACGCTTCCACGTATCGGGAGTGGCGCAGATCATATCACTTCCAAGTGTACTGGTCTGAAGACAGCACCGGAGGCACCACAATGGATCCTATTGCCACGCCCAGTTCCTATGTGTCCTATCACGTGTGGGAGTACCGAGACTGGCAAACGCGAGGGTACCAACGACTTGGACCTCCTGTCCAATCCATCGGATTCGCGATGCTCGTCAATGCAGACATCGAGTCCTCGGTGGGCTCGTCGGTACCGGATGGGGCGTGGCGGGAACCGTCACCGCCGCCATTCCATGATCCTTGGAATGATTCGGATTGACACTTGAGTAGCATGTTGGATAAAGATGCGGTTGTGCTTGCTTTGTATGTGAGTCCTCATTGGGTTGTCTTGCTTGGTGCTGTGCATGTCGCCTCTATATGTCCGCCGCTTTCCGTGATAACTTTGAGCAGCTTGTCGGGTTGAAATGTTCAATAGTACGGTGCAGGGTGCAGCACGATGGGTCCTACCTCGCTATTTTGACTATGACGTCGTCAATGGGCCGGCAGGAACGAGTGTGGAATGGATTCGAATCTATGTACCGGGTCAGTGACATCCAGTAGCCCCTGACACCCTGGGACCGGCCCCGGATGACCCGTCCACCTATCGGGAATGGCGCAAGGTCCACCACTTCGAAGTGTACTGGCCCAGGGAAAGCACGGGCGGCACAACTATAGGCACGGTTCTGCAACCTATCCTACGCCACCTTCTACACTTGGTATTACAGGGGCTGGGTCACCAAGGGGTACCAACGCCTGGGTCGTCCACATCCCAGCATAGCGAGGCCAGTTTTCGCTTCGGGTGCACCGGACCTCATGTATGCTGGATTGACCTCCTCCTCGGCATCATCTAATTCACATGATAGCTGATGCCCGTCCTCGCCTTCCTGGAGAGTCTGACTTTGATGTTGGCGCCGCACAGTGCTACAAAAGTGGTCTTTTGCATTATGATTGTTGATTTGCTTTCACTCGTTGTTGTCTGCAGCCGTACACCTATCAACTTGTCTTTCCGTGGTTGCGTTGTCATGGCGTGGTTGGAATGGTGCCCGGACCCTCAACAACCAGATGCCCAGTGGGTCAAGATCTTTCATCCAGGACCATGGACGCCACAAGAAGAACATGATGCTCCACCTCCTCCGCATACTTTTAGAGAATGGAGGGAGTTCTATGCTCCCAACCAGGACTCAGTCGAAGGGCAAGTCCAAGTCACTACGTGGTACAAACGAGACTGGGCCACAGAGGGCTATCGGAGAATCGCTGCCCCTCACGCTGGTCATGAATTTGATTCCATTTATCCCTCCGATCATCACAGCGTGGCCACGCAGTCTGCGGCATTGAGTATGTCGCCGGAGCTGTTAGACGCGATTCTCAGGTCCTCGGATGCGGCTGATTTCTCCACTGAAGAACTGACTCGTCTCCAGGAGGGGATTTCTCAACAACTGACGGCCCGCGCACGTCTGGCCTCCCATCCTCATCAACCAGTACGTGCATCGCGTGGAAACACACCATCGGAGACGATTGGGGTCTCCGACCCCTACAGGCCCGTGAATCCTTCCGACAGCGGCCAAGACAAGATGAGTCCCGTCTTCGAGCTGACTGAAGACTAGACTTGCATGAGCAGCGCAGCGTACAAAATAAGGGTGGCCTCTACACTTGCATGATCTTGCTTGGCTGTTGTTTGAACATGGTTGTGCATGGTGCTTGTTCATCTACTAGCTGGATCGGAGCCCGCGACAATCCGTGCCTCTTGCCTCGACATGGACATCGATGATTCGAAGCAGCACCCATGGCTCGAATATTCGGTCTGGCATGATCAGGAGTGGGTGCGGATATACACTCCAGGACAACCTCAACGATGGCACCGCGGTGACGCCGTACCTGATCTACCTGAAAATTCTTTTCGTGAATGGCAGCGGGTGACGGATCCCGATGCGCCAGTCCAGGCATGGGACATCCGTGACTGGCAACACCAAGGGTACCAGCGCATTTTGTCTCGGATTGAGTCCTTCGCAACTCACTATCCACATGATCAGACTCTTGGTCAAGTTCGAAACTCCGATGCCGTTCCAGTTGAGGAGACCTTCACCTATGCCACTCCGTTTTCTCATGGTGATCGCCCGGCTGCTTCGCAAATCGCTTCAGTCCTCTATGGCGACACTCGCAATGCTCAACGTGGTGTTCTTTCGTTCCCGTCTTCTGAGCGGTTTAGGGCGGTGTCTCGCTCCCCTCGCTGTGGAGGATATTTTGGTCAACGATAGAGATTTGAGTTTGAGCATGTGATCTTCCTGCAGGAGAAAAGAGAAACCTCGCCCCTCGTAGAGGGGCGTGTGTGTGCGGAGTGGCAGAAAACCCTGCCACCAAAACCGTTTTCTGTTGCAGCAGGGGGCCAGCGGCCATCAAGCAAACGCTGGCCAACGAAGCTATGCTTGATGGTGGATGCACGGATTGATCACCCGTGTGTACCTGCTTTTGTGAAGTGATGTTGATGAAAGTCCAGTTGGCCGCTTCTTTTGCCGCTGTGTGTGCTTCATGTTGAACCTTGTAACGTTTTCGACACTAGAGTGAAGCCAAGTGACCTGCCAGCCGAACCTTATCCGACTTGAGACTTGTCAGTTGTACTCGAGACTCATCAGTTGTACTCGAGACTCATCAGTTGTACTCGAAAGATTAGCACCCTCCATCTGGAGTTTAAGTGTGTGTCTTTCTGGGTGATTTGAATTGGTCAAACGCCATGTGGGCCAATGTTGAAGGGTGGCGTCCTTGTAACTCGGTTGAACATGTATTTGCCAATGGCAATCAAGAACACAGGTGAGCACCCCTGGCCATGTTTGTGTGACAGCTGCATGACCATGTTGCACACGTTGGCAGAATTGAGGCACTCTCAAGAGGTGGGTCATGGTTGGTTGTATATGCCTCGAAACCTCAATGCCAAGCGAAGCCCAAGTTGGCCGCTGCTTTGCAGTTTGGCCTCAGGGGATGCCTGTGTCGGTCTCTCTCTTCTTTTTTGGGGGACCCCGCAGAATGATTGGCTTCCTTTTGGTTTCCTTTTGGTTTCCTTTGAAAAGCAACCCAAGAAGGGTTCCCGTAAAAGAGGGAACCACACCCATGTACACCCATGGGTTGGATCCCGCTCAGGTAGTCCAAAGAAAGGAACTGCTTAGGGTCACGGCGGCTCCCTTGGCTGTGCTGGTCAAAACCGTTTTGGGATCCCATTTTGGGGGTTTCGGTGAATTCGCCACCCATTTTAGAACCCATTTTAGGTGGGATTGGGATGTTCACTGGGGCTACGATTTGGATTTTGACCCACGGCATGGAATGCTTCTTGGAAGCTCAGTGGCAATCAAGAGGTGAGCAACGGACAATGTGACTGGGATAGCCTTTTTGGGTGGGCCCATCCGACTTTTAGTGACTATTGTCGGGTATTCAGGTGAGTCGCAATCAAAGCCCAATAAGTGAGGGTTGGACAGTCCCAGCCAGAAACAGGTGCTTGATTCTTATAGCTTTCGGGGTAAGCAAAGGGGATTAAGCTAAAATGATGGAATTGTGCCATGTACACCCAAATGGGTATGTCTGTTTTTGGGGACCCCTAAATGGTGGTTTTCCTTTTGGTTCCCTTTAAAACCACCAAACAAGGGGGGGGGGGTTCTCAAAAAACAAATGGAATACACACCCAAGTGGTACAAGCCACTCCCCGCCGGTAAACCAGCTTCAGTCTTCTAAAACCACCAAGCAAAAGGGGGCGTTCGCCGAAAAAAGGACACGTTGAAGCGTACATCCCCGCCGGTACACCCCTTTTGCTTCCCTTCCAACCCCCCCAAAAAAATGAGGGGTGTTCTCCAAAACAGGGGCGGGAGCCCGCCCCAGCGCCCAACCCAAAAATCGAAAAATCTCCTTCCGCCGGTGTCAAGCACACCCCAAGCGCACCTCGGCTCAGCTCTCAGGTGGCCCGCATCGTGGGGGAGCTGCTGGTGACCATGGGGGCCATCAAGCGCCCGACCGACGGGACCTCCGGCCCGGCGAGCATCGTGAAGGAGGTGAGCCGCGCGGATCTGGTGGGCGAGCACGTGGGCTCCACCGCGCTGAAGGCACGTCCGGATCTGGGGGGTTCGACCAGTGAATCGTCTGGTTTTTGTTGAGGATGTTTGAGTTGTTTTTCTTCTTCATTTTTTTTCTTCTTTTTTTCTTTTTCCGGTTGGTTTGAAAGGTTGGTTTTGGGTTTCCGAATCTAGCCCACCAACAGTTTTCGACTTTTAGCAGGGGATCAGAAAACGGACAGCCCAGTTTTGACATGGGGTTTGGCACCTTGCTTTGGCGGACATTAATTTTCTAAATGATGTCCCTAAATGGGTTCCAAATCAATATTTATGTCGTCAAACTTGCCGTTCATGTGGAAAGTGGGAGGGACATGGGGGAACTCACTGAAACAAACACCAAGTGATGTTTTTCTGGCATCCAAGGCACCACGTGCTTTTTTTGTTCAGATCTGGGTGGGTCTAAGCATCACCTTTGAGCGTGCTGTTGTTAGAACGGTTTTTGAAGCCGGGGAGTGTATACTCCTTTAGTTTGGTTGCTCTTTGGTGGATGACCGAAACGTTGTGGAGATTGCCCGGGTTGAATATGTTAAATGGTAAAACAACACCAGCCGTTCTGGGCCATATTTGTGAAACAGATCCAAATCACTTTTGTATACTTTTGGACAAGTACCATTTCGCTACTACATTGCTGAAGGTAACACACTTTCGGCAAGCCCATGACAAGGCGAGAAACTGGGTGGCCAGGCTTCACCGCCGGTTCTTGTCAGAGTTGCCCTTGTCAGACTTTCAGACTTACTTTTCCTCGCTGGCAGAAACTGGTTCGCAGCCATGCTAGAGCATGTGGGACAATGTAAGATGTGGCATGGGCTTCCTTCCAAAGCGGTGGATTCCTCACGGATTGCCACGATTCCCTACCCCCCCCTTTCCCGGCCCAATGGGACAACCCTGATCCTAGCGCCCAGGAGTGTTTCCAAGAAACTTGTCAAAAGCGATCGTGCTGGACAAGACAGTTTTCCATTTGGGCCGTTTCTGTTTTTTGGAGAGTACCCCCGTTTTGTGGTTTTAAAGAGGCACCAAAAGGAGGACCGAAGCCATTTTGGGTGTCGAACCTTGAAAAGAGAGGCACGCACTCTCAAGTCTTGCATTGAAAGGGGACATACCAGCCCTGCAACACCGATTCCGGCCCTTGGCCGGACCCCCCTTGTTTCGACTGCTTCTCTGTCAAAGCCAGAAACTGGGCTTGCTTACCTTTTTTTTCTGGCACTTGGGGGGTTGACTTTGATGTCTGGTCCAGTTCTGGAGCCTAGTGTTCAATCATTTTTGGAAGTGGACGCTGCGCAGTTCCTAGGGGCTTCTGGTACTACGGAGTTTGATTCTCTCCATTGGCTACAAATGGACCCCCCCCCTGTTCCCCCATGCCCTAGTTGCGACTTCATGTTTTTTGGGTTCCTGTTTGATGCCTACGGTGACATGCTCATGACCCTGTGTTTCAAAGGGCACGGCGCTTGTAGCAAGGGGACCACGCGCTTTTCTTACGAAGCTTCGAGCGGTTCGGAGAGAAAGGTGAGCAAGGCCTTCGAGGAGGCAATGGGCGGGGTGCTCTTCATCGACGAGGCCTACTCCATTGTCCAGGGCGACCGGGACTCCTTCGGGAAGGAGGCGGTGGATACCATCATCAAGCTCATGGAGGTCCACTCAGGGGTTCACTTGCCCTCTCACCAATTAACATGGAATCTGAGGTGTGGGGGGGGGGGTCCTGGCTTGGGCCATCCTCCTTTTAAAGGGACCATTTGCCGCACGTCAGGTTCCGTGTTAATTGGTGTGAGGGTAGCTTGTTGGTCCATCAGCAGGGAATGACACATTTTTGCCCTGCGCAAGCGATCGACTCTTCGGGCGAGTCCGGTCCAGGTCATTGGGTTTGCTAGGACCACCGGGACCAGATCATCGTCATCTTGGCGGGCTACCAGAAGGCCAGATGAGAGACCAGGGTTGGGCGTTTCCAGCACGTTTGCAGGGAAGCTCAAGTATGAAGTTTGAACATTCCTGTTTAAAGACAGGCCACCCTGACTTTCTGCAAGCTGCTGAGTGCGAACGGGCATTTTTTTTTTTTAATTATTCTTGGGGGTCCATTTGTAAATAGGAAGAAGGGGTTAGTCACGGCCGTGAGGGTCTTGCATGCCTCCATGTTTCACAAAGCTTGCCACAGGTTTTTACGCAGTAGCACTTGCTAGTTTAGGACTCCGATGCAGAAAAGGCCCGCGGTATCACAGATCGTGTCCCTTTCGCCCATGCCTGTGAGAGACTGAGAGACCGAGATGTTTATTTTGCACTGCGAAGTTGGCACAGCCATCCATGCCGCCGCTTCCTGCTGTGGGGCTTATTGTCAGAAGTGTTAGACAACCACCATGGATGTGTGTGTGTTTCAATAGGGGGATCCCAAAGTGATTGGTCCCCGAAACGGTACCAACTCGCAAGCAAGGCGCCACATCCACATGGCCTGCATGGTGGCCCGAAGACCATCCCCCTTTGAAGCAGATAGGTGTATCTTTGGCGGGATCCGCTTTTGGCTTTTGTTTTGCGAAGCAACGACAAAGGAGACACACCATGTCTGGGGATCCAAAATTTGGAGACCAGATGGCCATGGGTGAAAATCCCGTACCCCTCGTGAACATCCCAATCCCCACTAAAACAGACTAACATGGGCGGTACACCTACCCCAAAATGGCACCATGGGTTTTGACCCACGGCCAGATTGGAACCCATGCGTAGGAGATGGCGGACTTCATTGCGGCCAATCCTGGGTTCAAGAGCCGAGTGGCCTTCAACTTCAACTTCCCCGACTATACATGCGCCCTGCTCGGAGACGGTCGAAAAAAGTCGATCCCTTGTTGCGGGGTTCCTGTTGGACAAAATTTCATTCAGTTGCTATGAGTTCATTCCCTCCATGTTCTCGCCCATACATACTGCAGCATTCTATTCAGCAAGGATCCTGCAGCAGGGATGTTTTGAGTTTTGACCATGGCTCAAATGCCACTTAAAAGGATTCTTGGTTTCCGCTTGGTCTACCCAAGGGGCCCACTTCTCAATCCATTTTTTTGAGTCATGGCTCCTGGACCAAAGTGGACGGCCTTTGTCTACGCCAATCCAAGTGACATCCAACTTAGTCTCATGGTGGTGAGGGGAGCATCCAGACGTATTTTATGCCCCCTTGAAATGCAACCGATTGTTGATCCGGGACGTGATTGTCGATCCGGAAGGACCAATGACTAAACGCCAGGGCAGTAGCTCAATAGTTTCACCCCAAACCCTCCACCTGAGGTTTCAGGGATACACGCGCACCGGCCACTTCAAAAAGCTTATAGCTCTGTGTCGATGTTCTTTTGGTTTCCCTTTAACCCACACAGGTACCTGAAAATAACACACGCCCCTTCTTTGAGGGCACCCTTTTTTTGGGGTCGAAAGGGGGGTTCCAACGGGCAACCCGCCCCTTTTTGGGGATCCAACCTCAACAAAAACACAAGCAGAAGCGCATCTCCGGTTTTGAGCCCGGGCTTTTGGTCGGGGGACGGGACGCAGGGTCGGGACGGAGGCCCCGAGCTCGTGGACATCGCCGAGCGGCTCATGAAGAGCAAGAACGTGGGGCTGTCGGCCACCCGGGCCGACGTGTGCCAGGCGGGGACCACGGGACTGGGCGCCGTTTTTTTTTTTTGAGCTGAGTTGGAGTGCAAGAGCTCGCTCCAGGGGCCAAAACAAAAGAAATGCCCGTCGCGTGTTTCTTGGGGTGTGTCCCTTTTTTGGTTTTTTATCACTTGATGGCCAGCCCGGGAGACGTCGGCTGTTCTTGAGGATGCACATGTTGGAGTAGTTTCAGAGGAAAACCACATTTTCACCGCAAAAAGCCATGAACAGCTTGAGGGAAACCACATCTTCACCGCAAAACGCCCTGAACTTCTCGAGGGACGCCACCTTCTGACGGCAAAGAAAGCAACGAACGCCTCGGGCTCTGCTCATTGACTGCGCGGCCCTGCCAGGGCCCGGACACGCCCAGCGCCTGCGAGTGGCTCAAGAGCGCCATCCGCTTTCGGACTGGCTGCTGCGAGGCCGCGGACTGCGGGAAGAAGGCGACGGGACGGGGTGTTTGTCGAGGTCCAAAAAGCGTGGGGCCTTTCAGGTGGGGAAAAAACGATTTGTCATCTGCAAAAGCCACTTACAGGATTAAACTAAAATTTGTAGATGCAAAATGAAAGGCGTTCTTTTTCTTCTCCCCCTTTATTGGACCCTGGCGAACATGGCCTTTTGGCCAAGCTTGATCGAGTTGCGAAATTCCATGTGGGGCGGGTCTCAACACTTGGGACCCGCCGGGTGCTGCATTTTGAAAAGTGCTTCGGAAAATCCGAATCGAACCCATTCAACTGATCAGCTTTCATTGGAACCTGCCAGCAGATCTGCCTCGGACCTTTGCATGGGAACATGAAGGTTTGGGCCCAGCGGGATTGGGGTTCCAGCCTTGCGGGGCGGTGACTACTGGTTGGAACACCAACTCAAGAAAAGGCAGAGATCCTTCAGCATTCCCTTGCTGGGTTCTGGCATGTGCCGTTTGAGGCCAGTGGATATATTTTGGGCTTCGCTGAGCATTTGTCTTTTTTTTTTTTTTTTTTTTTTTTTTTTGTTTTTTTTTTTTTTTTTTTTGTTATTTTTTATGTTATTTTTTTTTTTTTTGTCTTTCATTCCCATGTTGGACTGCCTCACGCCCCCCAACCATGTATCTCTGGTGGATCCTGTTTCCCCCTCTTGGCTGGCTTGAGCATCACCTTTTGGGCCATGTTTTTAAATTTGTGTACCCTTTGGTGTGATGTTGCAGAATAAAGATCAACTCCAGGTGGCAACGGGTTCCTTGAATCAAACCTGAAATGGGAATGAAGTGACCTATAAAAAAGTTGTTTGGTTTCTGACCATGCCACTTCTATGTTGTTCTTTTTGTCCCATTTGAAGACGACCTGGAAGACCAGAAACAGCTCCATGGGCATGAATGTCCTTTCTTTTTTGTTGGTTTGCTGAAAAAAGTAGCGGGCGATGAAAGGCCACCTATGTCCATGGGGTTCTTGGGCGCCAGGAGAACCGTGCCAACGGCAACGGCCGCACGGTGCGCAACGTGCTGGAGGCCTCTTACCGGGAGATGGCGTCCCGCGTGCTGACCACCTTCACCCCCGGGCTGCTGCAAGACTACGCCGTGGCCTCAGCTGAGCCGAAAGCCGAAGGCAGGCCCCCACCCACTGCACTGAGGGAACCTTGAGCTGACTCCGGATGAATGAACCCGTAAATGCCCAGTCAGGGAAACCGACTAGCAGGGATACAGGGGCAACCAGGGATACGGGAGGATTCCCCCGTTTGATGCACCTTGACTAAGTCTGATATGGGAAATGGCGCCAAGAAAATTCCCCCATATCCCCGCTCCCTCCGTATCCCCGCTTGTTCGTTTGTCCAACGCAGGAGCCGAAGGCAGGCCCCCACTGCCCCACTGAGCTTGTGACGGGGTGGTTTGAGGGAATCTCGTTGAGCTGACTCCGGACGAATGAATCCGTAAATCGGGATGAATCCCAGCTGAAAGAGGACACTCATGAACCCAGTTTTTGAATCCAGGGTTCCCAGTCCGAAAATGTACCCTAAACACACACACAAACTCATATCAAGCGAACTTTCTGGTGACAAACGAGACATGGAGGGCTAGTTTTTGAACAACCGATAGAACCCCGAGTTCAGTTGCAATCAACAGCTGCTTAGGGTACAGTCCACTCGTGACAAACTGGTACGGATATCCGCGCTTTTCATCCGTTGGCGTTGGTTTCGCGTAGACGTCGTGAATGATCAGTAGCTGTGGAACGACTCCAAGGACCTCGACTTTAGCCAGCAAGCGAACCTGCATACCAAAAATCCCCGTTGGCTTTCTCTCCTTGGATTTTTCCTGTTTTTTTTGTGGAACCCCCTATTACCAGTAGAGCCGGCGAAGCCGGTGGGCGGAAGTTTCAAAAATATAAAAACTATAGTTCTCTTTCTCTTTCTTTTCTTGACTCTTTTTCTCCGTCATTCTTCCTTTCTTCCTTTCTTTCCTTCCTTCCTCCCTTCTTTCCTTCTTTCTATCTGTCTTTTCTTTCTTTCTTTCTTTCTTTCTTTCTTTCGTTTGCTTGTCTATCTATCTTTCTCTACCTATCTATACCGAACTACCTGTCTATCTATCTCTCGTGTCATCTATCTATCTGCTTATCTATCTATCTATCTCTCTATCTATCTTCTCTATCTATCTCTCTATCTCTCTATCTATATATCTACCTATCTCTCTATCTCTCTATCTATCCATCTCTCTATATCCCTCTATCTCTGTCTCTCTCTTTCTCTATCTGTCTCTCTATCCCTCTTTCTTTCTATCTTTCTATCTCTCTATCTCTCTTTCTTTCTATTTATATATCTCTCTATCTCTTTCTCTATCTCTTTCTATCTATCTATCTATCTATCCATCTATCTCTTCATCTATCTCCCGCGTATCTATCTATCTATCTATCTATCTATCTATCTATCTATCTATCTATCTATCTATCTATCTATCTATCTATCTATCTATCTATCTATCTAATCTATCTATCTATCTATCTATCTATCTATCTATCTATCTATCTATCTATCTATCTATCTATCTGTATTTTTAATTATCTATAGATCTACCTATCTATCCAGCTCTCTATCTACCTCTCTCTCTCTACCTACCTACCTACCTATCTATCTATCTATCTATCTATCTATCTATCTATCTATCTATCTATCTATCTCTTTTATCTATCTATCTCTCTATCTCTTTATCTCTCTCTCTCTCTCTCTGTCTATTTATCTATCTATCTTGCTCTCTCTCTCTCTCTATCTATCTATCTATGTATCTATCTATCTATCGCTTTCTCTATCTCTTTCTATCTTGACTTCGCGTACTACTTTCGTACTTAAAAGTTGCGATTTTCGAGCCCGGCTGCGAAAGTGGACTTCGCGCACTACTTTCGTACTTAAAAGTTGCGATTTTCAAGCCCCAGCTGCGAAAGTGGACTTCACGTACTACTTTCGTACTTAAAAGTTGCGATTTTCGAGCCCCAGCTACGAAAGTGGACTTCGCGTACTACTTTCGTACGTAAAAGTTGCGATTTTCAAGCCCGGCTGCGAAAGTGGACTTCGCGCGCTACTTTCGTACTTAAAAGTTGCGATTTTCAAGCCCCAGCTGCGAAAGTTGACTTCGCTTACTACTTTCGCACTTAAAAGTTGCGATTTTCGAGCCCTGGCTGCGAAAGTTGACCTTGCAAAAGTGCTGCGCCTGCCACGAAATCTGTGCTTGACCTCGCGAAAGTGCTGCGCCTGCCACGAAATCTGTACTTGACCTTGCGAAAGTGATGCGTTTGCCACGAATTTTGCACTTGACCTTGCGAAAGTACTGCACCTGCCACGAATTCTGTACTTGACCTTGCGAAAGTGATGCCCCAGCCACGAAATCTGTTCCTGACCTCGCGAAAATGCTGCCCCTGCCACGAAATCTGCACACGCCGCCTTGCGCGTCCGTGCCAATGGGATTTGCGATGCGTCCGTGCCAGAAGTAAGAAAATGCCGCGCCTGTCACGAAATCTGCACTTGACCTTGCGAAAATGATGCACCTGCCACGAAATCTGTACCCGACCTTGCCAAAATGCCGCGCCTGCCACGAAATTTGAACCTTGCGAAAGTGTCGAGCCCGTGCCGAGACCGTCCCCGTCAGATGGCGCGACCGGGGTAGCTTTCAGCCAGCCGGAGAAGCCAAAACCCGCAGAGGGTTGCACTTTTTGCAGATTTCTATTCTCCCGCCACACGTATACGCACGTTTTCTCGCATGCATTCATTCTTTCTTCATCTCATCTTTGCACAGAGCTACCTTTCAATTAGTTTCTGTGACTCGGACTAAACTTCCTTTGATTAAGCCCGGATTAATAAACCCCTGGTTGATTCGTAGTGGGGTGTCCCCTTTTAGTGGGGATTCATAACTTTTGGAGGGAACCCCCCCTAATAATGGGACGGGATTATTAGTCCTGGGTCAACATTACTGCTTTCTCCGCCTTTAACGGGGGACCCACACTCTCGGACTCAGCTACTCCTTCCGCGGGTTTTCTTTTCCACGTCCGAGGACTCGGCGAAGCGCCCCGCGGTCCGCGGGCGGGGCAAGGAGGCGACGCCGGAGCCGGCGCTGCACTGCGGCCGCCGCTTCGAGCGGCTGCGCGCCGGAGGCGGGATGGGGGAGGGGGCGTGGGGGGGGGGGTCTGGGGGCTCTGGGGCTGTGGGGGCTGGGGGCTCTGCTGGGGCCTGTGGGCTCTGAGGGCTTTGGGAGCTCTGGGGGCTCTGGGGACTCTGGGGGGAATTGGTGGCTGGTGTTCTTGTTTGGAGGTCAGGAAGTGATCCAGAGGCGTTTGGGGTTGGGCTGGGTTTGTGGTGGGGTTTTGGAGGCGGCCAGGGGGGTGGTTTGAAGGGGGAGCCGAAATCCATTTGTTCGAATACCTGCTTTGACACGTGCCCACGTGATTGTACATGTGGGATATAAGGGTTTTGGGGCCAGTTTCTGTGGTACCACACAAAACCGTTGAAGTGATCAACTCGTGCAGATATGAATTCCGTGTCGTCATAGAAAGGGTGGATTTTCCCAATGTGATTGAACCGTCCATCTCCCAAAATCTGCAAAAGGAGACTCCCTTCCTAAGATTCCGTTCGCCAACATGGATGTGTTTTGGGTGTGAAACAGGAGCTGCACATGGATTTCGGGCTTCGGAACCATCAAAGTGGGTTTTCTCCCTAAGTCCCTTTGAAAGCTTACCCCTTTTGAGGATGCCAAAAAGCACGCCTAAACGCCGCGTGGCTCCGAGTCTTCGGAAAAGCTTCGGCCCTTGGCCTTTGGGTCTGCAGTTTCGAGTAGGGTGGGGCTCCAAATTCAAGAGAGAGAGAGAGAGACCGCAGAAAGTCTACTTTTCCATGCAGGGAAACCCATTGTGGCTGCCAATTCCCAATTTTCGGTCGCCACAGCCGCCAGTTTTTTTTTGAGTATCACCTATGCTTGTCAGGTCCTTACAGCTCGATGCAGGACTGCGGCAACAGATTGGTTGCAACAGGGCCTCCGAAGTTGGGCGGGACCCGAAAAACAGATCAGGTTGATCAGTTTGAGGGTGATCAGTTTGAGATGGTTTGGGGTCTGTTTTGAGCCACGACCTTGCGCTTTCTGACCTTTTCAGGACGTGGGCGACGCAGACGTTCGTTGTGCGTTTCGTCTTCTGGATGAGAGTTGGAGCCCCAGAATCGAGCAAACGAGAGCATCTGACGCCCTGACGTCCATGGATATGCGAACCCGCTTGGTTCTGGGTGCAGGGTCTGGTTTTCTGAACCGGCAAAGTGGAGTACAAAGCCTCTTTCGAGCACGTGGTCGTTGGTCTGGATCAATCCATGTCAACGAGTCATGAGTCACCGCTTTTCATGAATGGCTGATGAAGAGTGGGTGAATTCAACTCCGCCAAAAGCCATCGGCAAGGGTCCTCGAACTTGGGGGACACGTGTTTTTCATCAAGTCTAAGTGGCGGTTGATCAAGCAGATCTCAAACTTTGGTGGCTCCCAGCCATCCGGTCCCTTAGCTTTTTAGCCTTTTAGCGTTTAGTGGTAGTTTCGATTTAGCCCACTAAAAGGTAAACAACTTTTAGCGGGGGATCCGTTTGGACAGCCCAGAAACGTCTAAACAAATGGCGGTTCTAAAATGGGTGGTGAATTCACCTACCAACCAAAAAGGGATCCCAAAACGGCTCTTTGACAACCACAGCCAAGTCTCACCCGATTACGCATGTGGTTTGACATAGGTCTCAGAAGCCTCATCATTAGCCGAAAGGGCACACTGCAGCCGGTCACCCCTTTCAAACGGCTCAGCCGTTTTTCGTTTTGTGATTTTTAGGTCGTTCCAGCGAGGTGACTTGCGCAGCTCTACGGCTGCGTCCCTTGGAGAACAGCTGCAAGCGAACTGTCAGACAACGAAGACGCCGGTCACAGTGCATCGGCTGCAACGGGGCGATTGTCGTCTAGGTCCCCTAGGTGCCCTTCTCTCCCCTTTTTTGGTTGGGAGGGTTCCCCTACTAAAATAGACTACAGAAAAAAGTTGGTACCCATATTCTACCTCTCTACTGGAGGACTGTTGTGATACCCCGGGCGGCTTTCTTTGGCGTTTCGGGGGTGCAACGAGGCCCATTTAGCAGACTCTCACCCGGAAAATGAGACTGGAAACCAAAAAATGTCCCCGAATGAAGCAATCCTCGGATGTTTCCCGGGATTCTTTCACACTTGCCAATATTCGTTTGTCCCACCTGGGCTTCTGTTTTCTTTCGAGGTCTGGTGAAGGGTTGGTCCAGGTGAATGTGAGCAGCACTCTGGAGACGCTTTCCCCGGCCTGGCCCTCAGCTTTTGTTGATTGGAAAGGAGGCTTGGTGTTGCCAAACCTTCCTGTGCGACAACATGCTGCGGAGCATAGCTCATCGTTTTGTCATATGCTTGACTTCGGACAGTCGGCAATACAGACCCTTGCTCCTGCGCCGATTGGCAAGGCTTGTGGGCATTGGCTGTCAGGAAACCAATTCAGGGACCAAGGGCTCGATGTTTGGGGCGTTTGTGCCTGAAAGGGTGGTGATCGGTTCGTTTTTCGTCCGGTTCGAAGGAGTCTGACACCTGAAATCTTTGGCGAACTCAGACATGTCAGATGAGGTGGTTTCAGAACGGTGTTGAAGGCCACTGAGGAATAGATGGACTGAGTAACCACCTTTTGCCCCATATGTCCTCAAGAAGTTGGGCGTGTTTTATTCTTTAGTATGTGTGATTTCTGGGATGCACATTTGCACTGAATTCCTTATTTGCTGCAAACCATGTTTAAACAGTTGTTGGGACAGTTTGAAGACTTAACATCTTAATGGCCTCATTCACTCTTATTTGTCCTCATTGATGAAATACTTGGTTACCCTCCCACTAGCTAACATGGAAGTGCACAGACCCCTGTAGAAAGACTACTTTCCTCTTGGTTAGTTGGCCATTTTTGCACTTCCACATTAGTTGGTGGGAGGGTGAGTGCTGGCGTTTTTCTTGGTGCATGTTGCGTCTTGCCGTTGATATCCCGCGTCGGACAGAAATTATCCACCTCGAGGCCAGCCTGGATTGGGACCGGCTCCATCAGGGCTTGTACCACGAGCGCGAGTGCTCCCGGGTCCAGGCCTGGCATTTTGGGCCTCGTGGCGTGGTGTTCCCTTTGCCTTTACCGCAGAAAAAAAGCGCGGCTTCAACAAAGACAGGACCAAGACGAACAACAAAAACTGATCTCTCAAAATAAACAAAATAAGTCCCAAATTAAATCTCGACCCAAAAGACACACCCATTTTGTGAGGAATCCTTTTTCAGGTGGTTTTCTGATTGATGGTTCGGTCTTTTTGAGACACACCGACAGGTTTCCTTACACATCCCCCTTTTTGATATTTCAAGGGGAAAAGGACGCCGTTGCCATGTTTTGGGAGTTCCTCTTTGGAGACATACCCATGCTTCCCTTGGTTTCAAACATCGGCTTTCGGGCAGGTGATGTGTTGAACATTTCAGGGCGGCAGGCAGCCAAGTGCCGCCTCCCCCCCTTCGCATCAGCGTCGCCAGTGAGGCCCGGCGTGTCCGGCCAAGTCACCAGATGATGATGACGACGACGGTGGCAATGGTGATGATGATGATGATGATGATGATGATGATGATGATGATGATGATGATGATGATGATGATGATGATGATGATGCCTTTGGCATCCCCAGCCCTTTTGGTGAGGCTCGGCACTACCGAGCCCCGTTTGCGCGAGGAAACGACTTGGGGGCCTGGCGGCAATTTTTTGCCGTGCCCCGCTTTGAAACCCACCAACATCGAACCACCAACCAAGGTGATGGAGTGTTGCTACAACTCAAAAGAGGTTCTAGCAAGAAGGGTGTGATCGCCACCGAAGGACAAACTCATTCAGCATCCGAAAGGTTTCCCTGACATAGAGAGGCGAAGAGAGCAAGATGCCGCAGTTCTGTTTTTTTTCCTTCCCGCGATTGTTGGGTCACCTTGGAGTCACCCGTTTTCAAGTATCACTGAAATTGTGAGGATGTTTGAACAGGAATGGGTTGGCCTCACCCTGGATTTGACGAACTCAACTCTACAAATTTATCAACTCTCTACCGACCTCAAAATGATCCTTCTCAACTTTGGTTCCGTGCAAGAATCGGCAGAGATGTTGATCTCGGATGAATTGACCTGGATGAATAGGCACCTCTGGAGTATTTTGGAGCCTAGATCTCTGACTGGGAGGGGGGTAATCGGGCTCTAAGCACCATGATGCAGCATACCAAAAGAAAGTCCCATGTGGGGCTCCTTCCAAGGGGTCCAACTCATGCCCGGCTTTCCGTCAGTAAGTCACTTTTCATTGAACCGGAGGCCCTGCTGAGCTCCGGGAGCCTCCTGCAGCTCTCGGCTGTCCCCTCCTCCCACTCGGACTCGGAGGACCCGCGGTCGCAGGTCGCAGGTTTGGGGACCCGGCCAAGTCAGCTTCCCTCTGATTGGTGGTGATTGGTGGCTTGGATTTGGCTTCCCCACCTTTCGAAGCAGGGAGAAGGTACACGTCCAAGCCATCAAACCAAAGCACCAATTAGGGGTAAGGTGAGTCAGTGTGGGTCTGGGCTTGGTATAGCGAGGATTTAGGTGTGTCTCTTTTTTGACGGGATTTCCTTTTCGGTTTAGGGAAACGGAAGGGAAGCAGTTTTTGGAGACACACTCACTTGGGTGTGGTTCCGTTGTTTTGAGGGTGCCCTTTCTTTGGATGGTTTTTCAATGGGCTCCAAAGGGAAACCACTCAGTTTGGGGGCTCCCCCGTTTTTTCCTCCACAAACCCACGGCCAAGAGCGGATGTTGGGTTGCGAGCCAACCGGATTCGAGCTCCTCGAGTTGGAAGCCATCGGGGGATGTTGGCTGGGCGCCCCTGTGGCAAGACGAAGATTCCACTGTCGGACTATGCGAGGCGTGGTGCAGGGTTGTGGGATCGCAAGGGGTTTCTCCAACCACTTCTGTGATACTTTTGGGAATCCCCCTTTATATGAAGAAAATAGTCTTTGGGGTTAGGCCCTTTCTGTCGTATCACAGAAGTGGTCATTCCCCACAGCCCTGGTGTGGTGTGTTTGGGGTGTTGTGTTTGGTAGGTTTGAGTGGTTCTAGGAAGAATTCTCCAGTGACGAGGGGGGGCACAGAGGACGAGCGGTGCAAGTACTGCACCAACGAGGGCATGTGCACTATGAGGAGGAGCATTTGCGAAGGTTGCGCCAGCTGCACCTTGGATGGAATTCAGCCACTCAGTGAATGTGTGCTTGGCATCGTTCGGCAGCTTGCATGGGATCAACTAGATTAAGCACCCCAGGGGACCGTTTGGGGTTTCGATAGATATTTCAGCAGCGCGTGGATAGGGAGTGACAGAGCCATGCTGCACA